GGAGAATGTCATATGGTCAGATGAAACCAAAATAGAACTTTTTGGTAAAAACTCAACTCGTCGTGTTTGGAGGACAAAGAATGCTGAGTTGCATCCAAAGAACACCATACCTACTGTGAAGCATGGGGGTGGAAACATCATGCTTTGGGGCTGTTTTTCTGCAAAGGGACCAGGACGACTGATCCGTGTAAAGGAAAGAATGAATGGGGCCATGTATCGTGAGATTTTGAGTGAAAACCTCCTTCCATCAGCAAGGGCTTTGAAGATGAAACGTGTCTGGGTCTTTCAGCATGACAATGATCCCAAACACACCGCCCGGGCAACGAAGGAGTGGCTTCGTAAGAAGCATTTCAAGGTCCTGGAGTGGCCTAGCCAGTCTCCAGATCTCAACCCCATAGAAAATCTTTGAGGGAGTTGAAAGTCCGTGTTGCCCAGCGACAGCCCCAAAACATCACTGCTCTAGAGGAGATCTGCATGGAGGAATGGGCCAAAATACCAGCAACAGTGTGTGAAAACCTTGTGAAGACTTACAGAAAACGTTTGACCTGTGGCATTGCCAACAAAGGGTATATAACAAAGTATTGAGAAACTTTTGTTATTGACCAAATACTTATTTTCCACCATAATTTGCAAATAAATTCATTAAAAATCCTACAATGTGATTTTCTGGAAAAAAAATTCTCATTTTGTCTGTCATAGTTGACGTGTACCTATGATGAAAATTACAGGCCTCTCTCATCTTTTTAAGTGGGAGAACTTGCACAATTGGTGGCTGACTAAATAATTTTTTTCCACACTGTATATATATATATATATACAGTGGGGAGAACAAGTATTTGATACACTGCCGATTTTGCAGGTTTTCCTACTTACAAAGCATGTAGAGGTCTGTAATATTTATCATAGGTACACTTCAACTGTGAGAGATGGAATCTGAAACAAAAATCCAGAAAATCACATTGTATGATTTTTAAGTAATGAATGTGCATTTTATTGCATGACATAAGTATTTGATACATCAGAAAATCAGAACTTAATATTTGGTACAGAAACCTTTGTTTGCAATTACAGAGATCATACGTTTCCTGTAGGTCTTGACCAGGTTTGCACACACTGCAGCAGGGATTTTGGCCCACTCCTCCATACAGACCTTCTCCAGATCCTTCAGGTTTCGGGGCTGTCGCTGGGCAATACGGACTTTCAGCTCCCTCCAAAGATTTTCTATTGGGTTCAGGTCTGGAGACTGGCTAGGCCACTCCAGGACCTTGAGATGCTTCTTACGGAGCCACTCCTTAGTTGCCCTGGCTGTGTGTTTCGGGTCATTGTCATGCTGGAAGAGCCACGACCCATCTTCAATGCTCTTATTGAGGGAAGGAGGTTGTTGGCCAAGATCTCGCCATACATGGCCCCATCCATCCTCCCCTCAATACGGTGCAGTCGTCCTGTCCCCTTTGCAGAAAAGCATCCCCAAAGAATGATGTTTCCACCTCCATGCTTCACGGTTGGGATGGTGTTCTTGGGGTTGTACTCATCCTTCTTCTTCCTCCAAACATGGCGAGTGGAGTTAAAGCTCTATTTTTGTCTCATCAGACCACATGACCTTCTCCCATTCCTCCTCTGGATCACCCAGATGGTCATTGGCAAACTTCAGATGGCCTGGACATGCGCTGGCTTGATCAGGGGGACCTTGCGTGCGCTGCAGGATTTTAATCCATGACGGCGTAGTGTGTTACTAATGGTTTTCTTTAAGACTGTGGTCCCAGCTCTCTTCATGTCATTGACCAGGTCCTGCCGTGTAGTTCTGGGCTGATCCCTTATCTTCCTCATGATCATTGATGCCCCATGAGGTGAGATCTTGCATGGAGCCCCAGACCGAGGGTGATTGACCGTCATCTTGAACTTCTTCCATTTTCTAATAATTGCACCAACAGTTGTTGCCTTCTCACCAAGCTGCTTGCCTATTGTCCTGTAGCCCATCCCAGCCTTGTGCAGGTCTACAATTTTATCCCTGATGTCCTTACACAGCTCTCTGGTCTCTACCATTGTGGAGAGGTTGGAGTCTGTTGAATTGAATGTGTGGACAGGTCTTTTATACAGGTAACGAGTTCAAACAGGTGCAGTTAATACAGGTAATAAGTGGAGAACAGGAGGGCTTCTTAAAGAAAAACTAACAGGTCTGTGAGAGCCGGAATTCTTACTGGTTGGTAGGTGATCAAATACTTATGTCATGCAATAAAATGCAAATTAATTACTTAAAAATCATACAATGTGATTTTCTTAATTTTTGTTTTAGATTCTGTCTCTCACAGTTGAAGTGTACTTATGATAAAAAAATTACAGACCTCTACATGCTTTGTAAGTAGGAAAACTTGCAAAATCGGCAGTGTATCAAATACTTGTTCTCCCCACTGTATATATATATGTATTTAAAAAAATACATTTTTTAATAAAGCTGTAACATAACAAAATGTGGAAAAAGTCAAGGGGTCTGAATACTAATATATATGACGTTTCGGCCATATTTGAATCAGCAGTAGGGGGAAGCAGCACCACTGGCCTCCCCACCACCTTTGTTATTGTTTTTGTTGCCTAGCTGCGGAGCGTCGTGCAACATGGTAACAGAATTGCAGTTCATATTGTGCTCTTCTATCGTGTGCAATGATGTCTGAGGGGAAAACAGTGTGGTTGTTCCCAATAACTTCTTTGTTGTTGTAATATCTCGAACGGACGTGGCTTTTTCACCATTAACGATCCCAGCTTTAATCAGACTGAATGACAGGCACTCATTTCACTCTCAGGGAAATATGTATATTTTGCAGTGTATAACAGGGTCCTGGTCAATTCAGAATTTAATTGAGAATGGCTCATAAATCCAATTCAATTATTGAATTTTAATTGAAGTAATAAGTAGGATACAGAATTGCAATTTTAATGAAAGGAAATAGAGTTGAATTCAGTGGAATTAAATTAAATTAAAATGCCTCTTCTGTTCTATAGTTGTAGTCTATACAAATATACATATTGTAAATTAAATATCAAACATGTTGTAATAAACATGCATATAAAATATTGATGAAACAATTGATTTTCAGGACAAACTATTGAAATGAATGATCAAGGAAAACAAAACTTGTAGTTATTATATTTCATTAATCACTTAAATGTTATTCAATATGGGGGAAATACTACATTTCCCACAATGCATTAGTTTAACCCTCAAGTTAACCCTGAAGCCTTCAAAAAGAAGACAAACAAATTAAATGGTTGGTGGAAATATAATGGTATATTCTAATCACTAAGGTTAATAGAGTATATGAACATTGTTTCCAGAGAAAAGTTATATATTCTTTGGTATCTGGAAGTGTGACCTGTCAGATTCAATGAAACTCTCATGTTCTATGACTGAGTGAAATTTATTTGAATTGCACTGAATTAAATTATACTTCCTGTCACGGAAATTCAAATTCTACATCCTGTGGGGTGTGGCCAATTGAATTTTGAATTTCAACTCATGAGTTGAATGGGAGTCAATTCCCAAATTCTGAATTGAGCAAAACCCTGGTGTATATAATATCTTATAGTGTTTTTCAATTACATGAGTCTATACTGAACAAACATTTATATTAGGAAATCAGTCAATTGAAATAAATTCATTAGGCCCTAATCTATGGATTTCACGATTGGGCAGGGGCACAGCCATGGGTGGGCTTGGGAGGGCATAGGCCCACCTACTGGGGGAGCCAGGCCCAGCCAATCAGAATTAGTTTTTCCCCACAAAGGGGCTTTATTACAGACAGAAATATTCCTCCATTTCCTCAGCTGTCAGGGTGGCTGGTCTCAGACGATCCCGCTGGTGAAGAAGCCGGATGTGGAGGTCCTGGGCTGGTGAGGTTACACGTGGTCTGCGGTTGTGAGGCCAGTTAGACATACTGCCAAATTCTTGAGAGAAATTTGAGAGAAATAAGCTTTTTGTGCATATGGAAATTTTTTGGGATCTTTTGTTTCAGCTCATGAAACATGGGACTGACACTTTGTCTGATGTCTGATGATAATATGACAACATGTATGAATTGAACTGTCTTATGAAATATGACAACATGTATGAATTGACCTGTCTTATGATAATATGATAACATGTGTGAATTGACCTGTCTTATGAAATATGACAACATGTATGAATTGACCTGTCTTATGATAATATGATAACATGTGTGAATTGACCTGTCTAATGAAATATGACAACATGTATGAATTGACCTGTCTGATGATATGATACCATGTGTCAATTGCATCTTGAGTATACTCTACTGTATTCATTTCCATCTAACATGTATTACATGTTTTAGGCTGACTCTCTCTCTCTCTCTCTCTCTCTCTCTCATTTCTCCCTCACAGCACCACATGCCCATGGCTCCACTTCTTCCTCCACCTCCACCTCTTCCCAATCATCACACATTAAAGTGTAATTTCCTGCTGAACCACCTGGATGCCCTAAAGACAAGGATAAGTGTCCTACATAGGTTTCCCTGGTTTTCCCGAAATCCCTGTTGGAGGATTCCCGGAATCAGGAGAGAATACGCAGGAAATCCGGAATCACCAATTTATTGAACGTTCCCGGGAATTTTGCAACCCTACTCCTACGATGAATAACATACATTTTTGATGTGTTCTTCATATGTTAAATCAATCCCACAAAGCCACTAAAAGAATCAGAACATTGTTTAATTACAAATACAACCTGTGATTCAACTGGAAACATAAAGAACAAGATAATATCAAAGATGTTGTATCGACTTTATTGCTGGATAAGAATGTCTTCGCTCTCACACCTATTTTGGTTTGGTGTCAGTTTGTCCACTAGAGGGCGACACACTACTAGAGACCAATAGGGAGGATGTGCCACAGGATGGGGTGGGCTGCTGAAAACCAGGAAACTGGAGCGCTCTACTATCAGGCTTCATTACTTTCCAGTCGGCTGTCTGCACCTGTAGTGTCTAAAAATGGACCCATCCAAGGTAAGAAAATAGTTTGAAAAAAAACAGAGTATGCTGTTATTTCGTCGATATATTAGTGGTAAAGTCTCTGGTAAAGTTTGTTGATAGTAAAGTAGGCTACATTGTATCCGTTTCATATTTCACTTCCAGCAACTCGGATGTGCCGGAAACGAAACTTGCACGATGAAACGCAACAACGTGATGTAATAGTTCATAGGCCAACATAAACATGTCTAGGTTATTATCTAGCTATGAATTCATAACGCAGAAATATCCTATGAATTTATCGCTAGTCCTTTCACGTCATTCGAGGGGTGTGTGTGTGTGTGTGTGTGTGTGTGTGTGTGTGTGTGTGTGTGTGTGTGTGTGTGTAGGAGGAATCTGCCTCTGAGAAGGAAAGGAAGCCAGCAGTGGAGGAGAGTGAAGAGCCTTCCAGCACCTCTTCTAGAATGTGAGTGGACATAGAGTATATTATCTATTATCTACCTGGTACAGCCAGGGCCACCCCTCAGAGTGGATATGAGTGAACATAGAGTATATTATCTATTGTCTAAATTGATGGGTCATGTAAAAGAAATGCTATAACCCCCAGCCACATCTTGCTAAGTGGATGGGTCTCTACAGAAGGTGTAAACGGTACAGTGAAATGGTTACTTGCATAGTAGCAATATCTATAATAGATTGTGTCAATATAAAGGAAAATGAACAAGTGTCAATGCCAGTAGAGAAAGAACCAAAGAATATAAAGGATGTACAAGAACAATATCAAGAACCATATCAGTGATACTGGTGATAGATGAGGTAGTTACATGCATACAATCAGGGGTAAAGTGGCTGAGCAGCAGGATAAAACAATTAATAGTAACAGCAACGTATGGCGTGTGTGTTAGGAGAGAGTCCTGTGAATAGAGGCACTGCAGATAGTGCTGATGACTGGGAACTCGCCCCCAGTGATAAACTGGTCCGTCAGAACCACGCATGAACAAGGGAATCAATATTCGGAGAGTCTGTTTTTGTCCTGCCCTTGACTTTGGTGCAGGGCATGTGATGTCCATAGCCTCTTCGACGCAAAACTCCCTGATCTTCTCAAAAATATATGTTCGTCTAGCTGTGTCCAGTCCAGGTGGTGCTTGTACAGGCAGACCATCTATGTGAGGAATGATGTCAGTGTTGCTTAGCAGCTGAGTCCGAACGCTCCTTGTCAACAACAACACCAGGCTCCAGAGCATCGAAGCTGTAAAACAGGAAATAACAACAACAAAATTAGAAGATATTACATCAATTCACCTCCTTAGGTTAGTTAAGAAGAATAACCTCCTACAATACAATGAAGTGCTGGTACTGCTTGATCTGTGGCAGAGACCTGAAGTACGGAGTCAGGTGTTGTTGCCAGCCATAGCACCGTACCATCCTCCAGTACAACCAGCTGTGGGATGTTGACCCGTCACAGTGCTGTCCTTCACAAAACCAGCGATCTCGGATAAAGTGTTTACTCTGGTCATTCTGGCGCGTCTGCTTGATGAGGCCGAAGCACCAGTCGGGGGTGAACTTGGTGTGGCCTGTGATTAGGAAGTGAAGGTCCAGACTGTGGTGGATCATGTGATCAGGAAGTGAAGGTCCAGACTGTGATGGATCATGTGATCAGGAAGTGAAGGTCCAGACTGTGGTGGAGCTGGTCTGCCAGGCACAATACCAGAGCACAAACGTGTTCTTGTTTTGGCCGCTGCAGTTGTCAGAATTCAGGTCCACACGTGTTTCCCCAACTCTGTAGTTGGTGAAGAAATGGTGCATGTAGTTGTTGACTGCGCTGCTGCCTTTGCTGGATGACATGCCTTCATCAATCAACTAGTTGACTTGTTGTGGTCCTTCACAGCAGACACCAAACAAGCCACACTTGCGAGGAGTTAAAAAGTAAATGGGACCTGGCTGCATAGGGTCAGAAGGATAGTGCACCTGCAAACAACAACAAAAGAGCATTAAGATCAATTAAAATCATTTGTCTCACCCCTGTCAGTCTGTCTTTATACAGCTCAGTGAAAGGCATTTGCCTGCTTCTCATATACAGTACTAGTCAAAAGTTTGGACACATTTACTCATTCCAGGGTTTTTCTTTATTTTACTATTAATAGTGAAGACATCAACACTATGAAATAACACATCTGGAATCATGTAGTAACCAAAAAAGTGTTAAACAAATCAAAATGTATTTGAGATTCTTCAAATATCCACCCTTTGCCTTGATGACAGCTTTGCACACTCTTGGCATTCTCTCAACCAGCTTCATGAGGTAGTCACCTGGAATGCATTTCAACAGGTGTGCCTTCTTAAAAGTTAATTTGTGTAATTTATTTCCTTCTTAATGCGTTTGAGCCAATCAGTTGTGTTGTGACAAGGTAGGGGTGGTATACAGAAGATAGTCCTATTTGGTAAAAGACCAAGTCCATATTATATCAAGAACAGCTCAAATAAGCAAAGAGAAACGACAGTCCATCATTACTTTAAGACATAAAGGTCAGTCAATACGGAACATTTCAAGAACTTTGAAAGTTTCTTCAAGTGCAGTCGCAAAAACCATCAAGCGCTATGATGAAACTTCCTCACATGAGGACAGCCACTGGAAAGGAAGACCCAGAGTTACCTCTGCTGCAGAGGATAAGTTCATTAGAGTTACCAGCCTCAGAAATTGCAGCCCAAATAAATGCTTCACAGAGTTCAAGTAACAGACACATCTCAACATAGCTATAGCCACTGGTAACATTGAATATATGAATCTACTGGTATGGTGCTGGAGAGAAATCAACTTTAAAAACAGTGAATTGCCCCTCTAACATCTCTTCTATACCTCTATTGCATCATCCTCATGACCTGTGAAATGAATGTAGACCAGTGAGGTGACCACAGCATGTGGTGGTGGTGTAGGGGAACAGAGCAGTGTGTGACTGTTTCCTTTTTCCAGGTGGACCCGGTCTAGAGAGAAGTGTCGTGATCTGGAGGCTGAGATCTCTAGGATGAAGGTGAAGCTGGAGGTGCTGAAGGTAACACTAGTGGTCATGTCTGAGAGGTCAAATGTCATTGTGATCAAACCACATATAGATCACAGCCACATACTGTGTGTGAGTGTGTGTTAAAGTTCCAACTGTAATCTATTTTATGATGATATTGAGAGACCAGTATAAATATTCTAATACGTCTTAACAATATTAATATATTCATGTTCTTTATTTCATATCAGTAGTCAGTTTTTCTATTTCTTCCTCACTGTTGTCACCTTTGTTGTTTTAGAGAATGTTGGCTGTTCCAGTTCTGCTGCTGACCGCTCTGGAGGAGATGAACCCACATGAGCTGAAGACATTTCAGTCTTTCCTGACTAGTGGCCTGCTGCCTGACTGTCCTCCCATCCCAGAGAGTCAGCTGCAGAACGCTGACAGACAGGTCACAGTGGATCAGATGGTGAAGACATACGGCCCTGAGAGAGCTGTGGAGATCACACTGAGGATCCTGAGGGGGATGAAGCGGGTAGACCTAGCAGAGAAGTTAGAGACAGATCACAGAGGAGGTAACAGAACAAGAATGTACATCAATCTATACATCACAATCACAGTTCAGTGGAGGTCTAACCAGAAAGAACATTCAACTGACTTCATAATAACATTCAGCAGGCCTCTCTTTTATCATTTTTATTAATGATGTATCCAGGTGGCCCCATTATGTTTAAACAGCAATCCAACATTCATTATATTCCATACATACAATCACCAATACAGTAGGGAAGATATCACAAACAGATTAGACTTTCTAATCATGGCTGTATGTCTCTTCCTGAGCTGCCTAATCTGGAAGATGAACCAGAATGATCTGGCAGAGAAGTTAGAGAGAGATCAGAGAAGTAGGATTGCAGACAAGGACCCTAACTGTCTCTCTATCCCCCCTCCTATCTTCCCCTCTATTTCCCCTGTTTCCCCCTCTTTATCAGGTACTGCCTCAACCTCTCCCCTGTCCTTATTCCCACCGAGGCCCCGATCCGTCCTCTCCCCTGTGGGGTTCCTCCCCCTTTCCTGCCTTCTCTCCAGCTCCTCCTCCTCCTTTGGCTCGTCTATGAACTCCTTGTCGTTAACTTCTCCTGGTAGCTCAGGACAGCTCAGGTCACAGGTAAGAGGACGGTTAGAGAAATGTAGGATCACTTCTACCCTCATATGTTAAAACACCTGTACTCACTGTCATAGTCAGTTCTACACTTCTACCCTAATATGTTAAAACACCTGTACTCACTGTCATAGTCAGTTCTACCCTCATATGTTAAAACACCTGTACTCACTGTCATAGTCAGTTCTACAGTATGAAATGATACAGTCCACACATACAGTCTAGATAATGAACTAATCTCTCATGTACACTATGAGTGGCGGGGGTCAGACTGCATCCCTACACACACACACACCATTAGACAAAAAGGCTGTGATTATATTTCTGTGTGTGTGTGTGTGTGTGTGTGTGTGTGTGTGTGTGTGTGTGTGTGTGTGTGTGTGTGTGTGTGTGTGTGTGTGTGTGTGTGTGTGTGTGTGTGTGTGTGTGTGTGTGTGTGTGGTGTGTGTGTGTGTGTGTGTGTGTGTGTGTGTGTGTGTGTGTGTGTGTGTGTGTGTGTGTGTGTGTGTGTGTGTGTGTGTGTGTGTGTGTGTGTGTGTGTGTGTGTGTGTGTGTTGTGTGTGTGTGTGTGTGTGTTGTGTGTGTGTGTGTGTGTGTGTGTGTGTGTGTGTGTGTGTGTGTGTGTGTGTGTGTGTGTGTGTGTGTGTGTGTGAGAGAGAGAGAGGAGGAAGCTGCCTCTGAGATGGAAAGGAAGCCAGCAGGGGAGGAGAGTGGAGAACTCCCCAGCACCTCTTCTGGAATGTGAGTGAACATAGAGTATATTATCTATTATCTACTTGGTACAGCCAGGGCCACCCCTCAGAGTGGATATGAGTGGACATAGAGTATATTATCTATTATCTACCTGCTACAGCCAGGGCCACCCCTCAGAGTGGATATGAGTGGACATAGAGTATATTATCTATTATCTACCTGCTACAGCCAGGGCCACCCCTCAGAGTGGATATGAGTGGACATAGAGTATATTATCTATTATCTACCTGGTACAGCCAGGGCCACCCCTCAGAGTGGATATGAGTGGACATAGAGTATATTATCTACCTGGTACAGCCAGGGCCACCCCTCAGAGTGGATATGAGTGGACATAGAGTATATTATCTATTATCTACCTGGTACAGCCAGGGCCACCCCTCAGAGTGGATATGAGTGGACATAGAGTATATTATCTATTATCTACCTGGTACAGCCAGGGCCACCCCTCAGAGTGGATATGAGTGGACATAGAGTATATTATCTATTATCTACCTGGTACAGCCAGGGCCACTCCTCAGAGTGGATATGGAGAAACTAAAAGAATAAGGGAGATTGGAAAATGATGCAAACAATTGAATTGATGGAACCTACAATCTATCTGCAATATTAAAGCTGTTCCCCCACCCCCACCCTAAATAAGTACAGTTAGACACCAATGCGCATCCAATCCATCCAACAAGTATAGGTTAATGACAGTAGGCCTATAATTGACTCTTTCCGTTAGAAGTATTCGGTTTTGCAATGGCATGTCTACATTATTTGGGATTTGTGTGCCCATGAGAACATTTTTCACGCCGAAACATAATTAAATATTACTTAGGCATAGTTACACTTACAGTGCACTTTCTGAGATCTCCAAGATCCAGGATTCGTACAGGGTTTAAGTTCAATGTTCTATTTCAAATTTAAAATGCTTAGCAATTACAAATAAAACTATAATAAATGTCATTAATGTAAGGAAAGAAAGGTAGTGTTTTATGTCACATGATCTATGAAGATTCCGAGCATTAATTAATTATGGACAACTCATGAACTATGGTGTAAACATGTTTTGATTCAACTCATGTATTATATTGAATGTAGACTACCTGTTCTGAGTGTGTTCATGTGTGTAAAATTGTCTCGTCTGAGAGTGTAGGCTACCGGTAGTGGTTTAGGCCTAGTGCAGGGTAAACGTAAGGAAAGGAAGTTGACCCACCTTTTTCAGAAAAATGCATTGAAAGTATATGGAGCGTTACTTTTTTCACCGCACTGGTAGAACAGTGAAGTGACCACAGCATGTGGTGGTGGTGTAGGGGAACAGAGCAGTGTGTGACTGTTTCCTGTGTCCAGGTTGACCCTGTCTGAGGAGGAGTGTCGTCGTCTGGAGACTGCGATCTCTAGGCTGGAGGATTATCTGAGGTTCATGAAGGTAACACTAGTGGTCATGTCTGAGAGGTCAAATGTCATTGTGATCAAACCACATATAGATCACAGCCACATACTGTGTGTGAGTGTGTGTGTGTGTGTTAAAGTTCCAACTGTAATCTATTTTATGATGATATTGAGAGACCAGTATAAATATTCTAATATGTCTTAACAATATTAATATATTCATGTTATTTATTTTATATCAGTAGTCAGTTTTTCTATTCCTGCCTCACTCTTGTTATCTTTGTTGTTTTAGAGAATGTTGGCTGTTCCAGCTCTGCTGCTGACCACTCTGGAGGAGCTCACTGGAGAACAGCTGAAGACATTTCAGTTTAAACTGACTAGTGTCCAGCTGCTTGGCTTTCCTCCCATCCCAGAGAGTCAGCTGGAGAACGCTGACAGACAGGTCACAGTGGATCAGATGGTGAAGACATACGGCCCTGAGAGAGCTGTGGAGATCACACTGAGGATCCTGAGGGGGATGAAGCGGGTAGACCTAGCAGAGAAGTTAGAGACAGATCACAGAGGAGGTAACAGAACAAGAATGTACATCAATCTATACATCACAATCACAGTTCAGTGGAGGTCTAACCAGAAAGAACATTCAACTGACTTCATAATAACATTCAGCAGGCCTCTCTTTTATCATTTTTATTAATGATGTATCCAGGTGGCCCCATTATGTTTAAACAGCAATCCAACATTCATTATATTCCATACATACAATCACCAATACAGTAGGGAAGATTTCACAAACAGATTAGACTTTCTAATCATGGCTGTATGTCTCTTCCTGAGCTGCCTAATCTGGAAGATGAACCAGAATGATCTGGTAGAGAAGTTAGAGAGAGATCAGAGAAGTAGGATTGTAGACAAGGACCCTAACTGTCTCTCTATCCCCCCTCCTATCTTCCCCTCTATTTCCCCTGTTTCCCCCCTTTCCAGCTCTGCTGCTGGCCACTCTGGAGGAGCTCACTGAAGAACAGCTGAAGACATTTCAGTCTAACCTGACTAGTGGCTGGATGTTAGTCTTTCCTCCCATCCCAGAGAGTCAGCTGGAGAACGCTGACAGACAGGACACAGTGGATCAGATGGTGAAGAGATACGGCCCTGAGGGAGCTGTGGAGATCACACTGAGGATCCTGAGGAGGATGATGCTGCGTGATCTGGCAGAGAAGTTAGAGACAGATCACAGAGGAGGTAACATAACAAGAATGTACATCAATCTATACATCACAATCACAGTTCAGTGGAGGTCTAACCAGAAAGAACATTCAACTGACTTCATAATAACATTCAGCAGGCCTCTCTTTTATCATTTTTATTCATGATGTATCCAGGTGACCCCATTATGTTTAAACAGCAATCCAACATTCATTATATTACATACATACAATCACCAATACAGTAGGGAAGATTTCACAAATGGATTAGACTTTCTAATCATGGCTGTATGTCTCTTCCTGAGCTGCCTAATCTGGAAGATGAACCAGAATGATCTGGCAGAGAAGGAGAGAGATCAGAGAAGTAGGATTGCAGACAAGGACCCTAACTGTCTCTCTATCCCCCCTCCTATCTTCCCCTCTATTTCCCCTGTTTCCCCCTCTTTCTCAGGTACTGCCTCAACCTCTCATCTGTCCTTATTCCCACCGAGGCCCCGATCCGTCCTCTCCCCTGTGTGGTTACCCCCCATTTCCCCCCTTCTCTCCAGATCCTCCTCCTTTGGCTCGTCTATGAACTCCTTGTGGTTAACTTCTCCTGGTAGCTCAGGACAGCTCAGGTCACAGGTAAGAGGACGGTTAGAGAAATGTAGGATCACTTCTACCCTCATATGTTAAAACACCCTTCTACCCTCATATGTTAAAACACCTGTACTCACTGTCATAGTCAGTTCTACACTTCTACCCTCATATGTTAAAACACCTGTACTCACTGTCATAGTCAGTTCTACACTTCTACCCTCATATGTTAAAACACCTGTACTCACTGTCATAGTCAGTTCTACCCTCATATGTTAAAACACCTGTACTCACTGTCATAGTCAGTTCTACAGTATGAAATGATACAGTCCACACATACAGTCTAGATAATTAACTAATCTCTCATGTACACTGTGAGTGGTGGGGCTCAGACTGCATCCCTACACACACACCATTAGACAAAAAAAGCTGTGAATATATTTCTTTATAGCCGTGTATGACTTGTGTGTGTGTGTGTGTGTGTGTGTGTGTGTGTGTGTGTGTGTGTGTGTGTGTGTGTGTGTGTGTGTGTGTGTGTGTGTGTGTGTGTGTGTGTGTGTGTGTGTGTGTGTGTGTGTGTGTGTGTGTGTGTGTGTGTGTGTGTGTGTGTGTGTGTGTGTGTGTGTGTGTGTGTGTGTGTGTGTGTGTGTGTGTGTGTAGGAGGAAGCTGCCTCTGAGATGGAAAGGAAGCCAGCAGGGGAGGAGAGTGGAGAACTCCTCTGCACCTCTTCTGGAATGTGAGTGAACATAGAGTATATTATCTATTATCTACCTGGTACAGCCAGGGCCACCCCTCAGAGTGGATATGAGTGAACATAGAGTATATTATCTATTATCTACCTGGTACAGCCAGGGCCACCCCTCAGAGTGGATATGAGTGGACATAGAGTATATTATCTACCTGGTACAGCCAGGGCCACCCCTCAGAGTGGATATGAGTGAACATAGAGTATATTATCTATTATCTACCTGGTACAGCCAGGGCCACCCCTCAGAGTGGATATGAGTGGACATAGAGTATATGATCTATTATCTACCTGGTACAGCCAGGGCCACCCCTCAGAGTGGATATGAGTGGACATAGAGTATATTATCTATTATAAACTGGGTGGTTTGAGCCCTGAATGCTGATTGGCTGACAGCCGTGGTATGACAAAATATGTATTTTTACTGCTCTAATTACGTTGGTAACCAGTAAGCAATAAGGCACCTCGGGGGTTTGATGCGTCGTGCTAAGAACAGTCCTTAGCCGGGGTATATTGGCCATATACCACACCCCTTCGTGCCTTATTGCTTAATTATCTACCTAAATGCAACAAAAGACAATCTTTGGGGGGGTCTACGAATGGTAAACTGTAGAATTATAGTGGTGCTGTCCACTCAGTAGTGCTGAATGTCGACATCAGCTGAGCTCATTTAAACTCATAGATTTTCCTTCATACTTCCTCATTTTCACCATTTGTTTGCCATGCGCCCTTGATAGAAATAGCCTTTATGCCAGTGCATTAGATTTATCCATTGATTTATCATTGTTTGCTTTTGTCAGTCAGCTGTTCAGAGGCTCATTGCTTTGTTTTTCAGGTGTGAAGGTAGGCTACTGGTGTTCTCTGTGCCATCCGTGGCCAGAAGTACTAGACAATTTATTTAGCTTTAGTATTTTCTATCAATATTAGTTTTCTTTCCTGGATCAGCTGATGATGGTCAACAATATCACTAGACAACTAGACTACAGCTTGGTTTTGTGGGGTTATTGGAGGACAACTGGAGTTCTACTTAGCGTTAGTATGGATATTGTTGTCTGTTAGTTTACTCCAATTAGGGAATGGATGGTAGGGTGGGGGGGAAAAGTATAGAGAAACTAAAAGAATAAGGGAGATTGGAAAATGATGCAAACAATTGAATTGATGGAACCTACAATCTATCTGCAATATCAAAGTTGATTCCCCCCCACTCCCACCCTAAATAAGTACAGTTAGACACCAATGCGCATCCAATCCATCCAACAAGTATAGGTTAATGACAGTAGGCCTATAATTGACTCTTTCCGTTAGAAGTATTCGGTTTTGCAATGGCATGTCTACATTATTTGGGATTTGTGTGCCCATGAGAACATTTTTCACGCCGAAACATAATTAAATATTACTTAGGCATAGTTACACTTACAGTGCACTTTCTGAGATCTCCAAGATCCAGGATTCGTACAGGGTTTAAGTTCAATGTTCTATTTCAATTTAAAATGCTTAGTAATTACAAATAAAACTATAATAAATGTAATTAATGTAAGGAAAGAAAGGTAGTGTTTTATGTCACATGATCTATGAAGACTCCGAGCATTTATGAATTATGGACAACTCATGAACTAGCGTGTAAACATGTTTTGATTCAACTCATGTATTATAATGAATGTAGACTACCTGTTCTGAGTGTGTTCATGTGTGTAAAATTGTCTCGTCTGAGAGTGTAGGCTACCGGTAGTGGTTTAGGGCTAGTGCAGGGTAAACGTAAGGAAAGGAAGTTGACCCACCTTTTTCAGAAAAATGCATTGAAAGTATAGGGAGCGTTACTTTTTTCACCGTGACCGGCAATCAGAGTTTACCCCCCAATATTTTGACCACTACATCACTGGCTACCGGTAGGCCTATTAGAAGTTCATGGTAATACACATTGTAGCCTAGTCTAGTAAATTGACCGTGTGTGTTAGGGTGACCATCCAGTTTTTCCTGGGACAGTTTCAGCTCCATTTCAAATGTGTCCCAAAAAAGAAGGGGACTGGCCAACCCTCAGATCCTGGTTCCTCTCTAGGTTTCTTCCAGTGGAGGCTGCTGAGGGGAGGACAGCTCATAGTAATGGCTGGAATGGAGTCAATGGAATGGTATCAAACATGTTGTTTCCATATGTTTGATACCATTCCATTGATTCCATTCCACCCTTTACTATGAGCCGTCCTCCCATCAGCAGCCTCCACTGGTTTCTTCCTAGTCACTGTGCTTCTACATCTGCATTGCTTGGTGTTTGGGGTTTTAGGCTGGGTTTCTGTATAAGCACTTTGTCACAACTGCTGATATAAAAAGGGCTTTATAAAATCAATTTGATTGATTTGCTATAGGCACTGGTAAGATTGAATATATGAGTCTACTGGTATGGTGCTGTAGAGATAATACACTTTCAAAGTGGTGAATTGTCCCTCTAACATCTCTTCTATAACTCTATTGCATCATCCTCATGACCTGTGAAATGAATGTAGAACAGTGAAGTGACCACAGCATGTGGTGGTGGTGTAGGGGAACAGAGCAGTGTGTGACTGTTTCCTGTGTCCAGGTTGACCCGGTCTATAAAGAATGGTCGTCGTCTGGAGAGGCAGAGGGAGGAGCATAGGGCACTGGGCATCAAGGTAAGACTAGTGTCACTTCAGAAGGGTCAAATGTCATTGTGAACTAACCACATATGCTGCGTGTGTGTGTGTGTGTGTGTATGAGAATGAGGTATATAGAATGATTCTAGTATGTCCTACCAATATTAATGTGTTCATGTTCTTTATTTTATATCAGTAGTCAGTATTTCTATTATCTTCCTTATATCTGATCATCTTTGTTATTTTAGAGACCCTCCATGTTGGATGTTCCAGCTCTGCTGCTGACCACTCTGGAGGAGCTCACTGAAGAACAGCTGAAGACGTTTCAGTCTTACTTGACTATTGGCTGGATGTTAGGCTTTCCTCTCCTCCCAGAGTGTCAGCTGGAGAACGCTGACAGACAGGACACAGTGGATCAGATGGTGAAGAGATACGGCCCTGAGAGAGCAGTGAAGATCACACTGAACACAATGAGGAAGATGGACCTGGGTGATCTTGCCGAGAAGTTAGAGAGAGATCACAGAGGAGGTAATTACAGGTGTTGTTCCTAGTCAGGATGTTGAGTGTTTCAAAAAAAGTGTCCCAGCTTCTTTACTATTTTGTTTTATAACATATAAATGAGGATACAACATCTATGTTCCCTTTTGATAACACATCTCAGAAACGCAGGTAACACCTCTATAAACCGTAATTATAGAGTTTGTCATTTCAACTGTTTTCTCCTCAGTCCTCCAGGCCCCCCAAAAAACGTTGAAGGAAATGCCAAGTTCCTCATCTCATAGTCCTCCTAGAACCCCAGGTAAGAGTGAAGGAGATGGTCCTACAGATGTAGAATCTTCATTTGATCACTCTTTTGTTGCTGAGAATTTTCTTATACGTTAGGAAATGCAAACTTGTAGTGTATTTTCCACTTGAATTGACCTAATGAAAAATTTATCAACTCCTACAAAAATGTAAATTAATTATAATATACATAATAGATCCTACATCTGTATTTAATACAAAGACAACTTTAAACCAATAACTAACAAAATTATATATATACACGATTTCTGTGCAGATTCTCCTCTTCTCCTGGAACCCAATGAATCCCATTGTTGGACAGGCCTTCACCTTGCCATCAGCGACTGATGGGACAATGGAAGAAGAGAGCCAGGACTGTGTCAGAGTGCATCTGTCTGACAGCTTACCTGAAGCCATGGACGAGTTAATCATCACAGAATGTAGAGTAGTGGACCAGAGCCTGTGTACTACTGACCCTCCCATGGTAAGACCTTCACTAGAAAGAAAGAAAGAAAGAAAGAAAGAAAGAAAGAAAGAAAGAAAGAAAGAAAGAAAGAAAGAAAGAAAGAAAGAAAGAAAGAAAGAAAGAAAGAAAGAAAGAAAGAAAGACAAGTTGAATATGTTTATAGAAAGAGAGAAAGAGAGACAAGTTGAATATGTTTCTATTAAACTACTCTTCAAACCCTTTAAAATCTATTGTTTTTACATTTTAGAGGTCTCCTGAAAACTTTGAACCAGAAATCTATAATCATGAGGGCAAGGGAGCATACAGGTAACTCAGTATTATTTTACTTGTTTTCTCATGAATAGTTTGTAAGGACAATGCCTCATTTTTCAAATCATATTCAGGGAATGTAATTAAAATGTAATTATTCACCATTGTTTGTTCTACAGGTTCCAGTGCCCCAGTGCAGGTCTGTTCCAGTGCAGTATAACAGGCCTGGTGTTTAGGATGGAGGGAGAGGGAGAGGTGCTCTATAGGACAGTCCCCTGGGACAGGAGGCTTCTAGCCCAGAGAGGCAAGAGACCTGCAGGACCCCTGTTCAACATCGACTGCCCTCTGAAGTCTGTCTGCCAACTACACCTCCCACACTGTCAGATTCATTCTGGTGAGTATTTTCATGAATGCCCTAAACAAGAATGTAAATTAATTTGTTCATTGCCTCATTTGTCATTGCTATTGTAGTATATCAGAGAAAGCACAATGTTCTCTTTTGGGAGATTCTCAATTGGAAAAAGTCTGCCTAAAAATAGTAGTAATAATAATAATAATAGTCGTAATAATAATAATAGTAATAGTAGTAATAATAATAGTGATAATAATGATAATAGTAATAATAATAATGATAATAGTAATAATAATGATAATAAGGAATTGAGAAAATCCAATTGAGATTCTGTTTCTTTCCTAGAGGGTGGATGTGACTTCCTGTCTGTAGCCCATGTGACTGATGATGACAAAGTGGAGTTTATCCATCCTCTTGAGATAACAGATACACATGTCATAATAAACATCACTGGATTCTCTGCTTATGGTGATGTCACGGATGATGATGCTCCCATCTCACCTATCCACGGGCTTGTGTTGTTATTCCACCAACTGTTTGTCCCTGAAGAGAGGTCCATCCTGAATGTGTTGTTGCTTCCCAGAAATGTTGTGATCAGGGAGGTAAGCATAACTAAGATTTCAAACCCCACTTCTATCTGGCTAGAATTCCATCAAGCTGGCAGTGTCAAACACACAACATAGAAAAATAACAGTTTCTCTGTACCACAAGAATGCATGTTAATATAGTTGTTGACACCAAACCAGAATCAAATAATTCTGACAAAGTACTTGATGGGCGCTTGATTTAGCTTGATTTAGTTTGCACAACATGTATTTGATTGAAGCACAATTTATCTGTCCATTGTTGATTCTCAAGGTGCAGGATGAGAGGAAGAGAAGGAATGGATACAAAGAAACCTTCATTGAAACAACTCCTCACTGCAATCTAACCCCGAACAAACCATACATCCTCTCCACAAATATTACGCATGGATATAGGATCAACCCAACAGTAATATCTATAAGCCATAAAGAGATTACAACTTTAGATATTTATTTAGCTGTGACCTCAGTATATTCACATTCCATGTAAGATCGTAGAAACTGACTCTTGCTTTTTGTGTTCCAGGCAGCAGCATTTGTGGATTTCCAGTCCGATGAAAACTACTTCTCCACTTTTCAGTTGTTCTTAGAAACTATAGTTAAAGAAGTTGAACTTCTTCTGAAAGAAAAGGAAGGTGATGAACTTGTATGGAACAGACTTGTTTGGTTGCCAGGTAACAGACATTCAGAGCTCAAATCCAATCAAATGAAGTCAGACCTGTTGTACTATTACATGTTTTTAGTTCTCTTACAGCGTTATTGTTATTGAACTATGATGTCATTATATCACATGATTATGGTTGGTTATAATGAATATACCTTTTATCAGATAGTAAAACACCTTCTCTTTTCATCCTCAGCCTCACCAACAGATGTCACCTCTACAGGTACTGTTGACCTTTCACTGACATTCACCATCATTATAAACCACTCAATAACAAACTACAGATTCATCACCATTATAAACCTCTCAATAACAAACTAGAGATTCATCACCATTATAAACCTCTCAATAACAAACTAGAGATTCATCACCATTATAAACCTCTCAATAACAAACTAGAGATTCATCACCATTATAAGCCTCTCAATAACAAACTAGAGATTCATCACCATTATAAACCTCTCAATAACAAACTAGAGATTCATCACCATTATAAACCTCTCAATAACAAACTAGAGATTCATCACCATTATAAACGTCTCAATAACAAACTAGAGATTCATCACCATTATAAACCTCTAGTAGCAATCATCATAATAGTATGATAGTAGTGCTGTTGTTGTTGATTTAATCTAATTATGATACAATTTAGTATTTCACCATATAAATTTAGTACATCACCTTCTCTTTTAATCCACATTCTCACCAACAGAAGTGAAGTCTACAGGTAACTGGTCTCATCAAACCTTATACTTGTCTTAGTCTCATCAACTCACAATTTAATTGTGAACAACTCATATTCTCCTAATGGTTTCTGTGTTGTAAAATAGATTGTGTGTGCGCCATTTGATGTGACCTGCGGTTTAACCTCATAAACTGCACCATAAACTTAAACGACTATATTCTTTATGGTCTGTCACTTATTTTGTTAAAGGTCCTGCACAGTCAAAATCATGTTTTTCATGAAATGTGATGATATTCGGATTAAATCAGATCAAAGTAGGATGACCAAAGTATGAAAAATGACTGTTGCTTCTGCATTGATAAAGTTATCATAAAGTTACTCATCCTCTCCCCCATGTCAACCACTTGGATTCAGGAGCTGGGAATATTAAAGGATTTTTGTGACATTATTTTCTTACCTAATTAAAATAAGTACCGCCTTGTAACCAACATCGCAGAAGGCGTATTCGCAGAGGGGTGTGGTTTACATAGCAGCGTGTTCGATGAATAGTGGAAACCTGTAATTATATTTTCTAAGGCAAATATACTTATAGGTTTCCGCTTTCATCTGTGTCTGGTGTTAGCTAGTTACTGGCTAGCTAGGTCTTTCACCAGCATGGAACAAAAATGGAGGAAGGTTAGCCCAAAACTCAGACACAATTGTCATGTCATTACATCAAGAGACAAACATGAGATTCATACAAACTTCTTGACATCATTGATAGTCATGATATATGACATATTAATTAATTAACATTGTCTGACTGAGTGGACAAAACATTATGAACACCTGCTCTTCCCTGACATAGACTGACCAGGTGAATCCAGGTGAAAGCTATGATCCCTTATTGATGTCACTTGTTAAATCCACTTCAGTCAGTGTAGATGACGAATAGAGGCTGTTCTGAGGGCAAAAGGGGGGGGGTGTAACTCAATATTAGGAAGGTGTTCTTAATGTTTTGTACACTCAGTGTGTGTATATATATAACTTACCCAGACCTCACCCTGTAAAGTTTCAACAAAAATTGTCCAAGATGATCTATCTAGCTAGCTTGATAAACAGTGCTGAAAATTCAATTTGGGCTATCTAGCTAAATGATATAGCAACCATTATTTCTATATTGATGCTGTTACAATAACCAAACAGGATAAACAAATAATTTGTGAAACCATGATATGAGTTGCTTTGTGTATCAGCAAATTATCTTGAGATAATCTCATTGCATCACTACGTCCATGTTGCTTGACATAGGCGGTTTCAAAGAACTGTCAGTCAAGGTGAGCTCCCCAGCCTATCAGCTCCCCGCCCACTCAGTCTGTCTTTTCAGACTTCCTGGTAGTTTCACATGAGATAAACTTTTTATCGGGGAAAAATATTGTAGGTGATCTTTTAGTCTGTAGCTAGGTTACATCCAGTTTGCGACTGATTTTCATGTGAATATTCTAAAATCTGCACAAAACAGTATGCACATTTTCCCACCAGAGATGTGTTTCCATCAAACTGATTTATAGAGAGCAATAGTGATGGCGTCTTTTTGTTGTAACCAACTCCGCCATGGTTCGTTGGGCAAATCCTATGGGGAAATGAATGGCGTTTTTGTAAGGTTTTTCGATAATTGCCGAAAATAAGGTATGCAGTAAACACAGGCTTAGGAGAGCTTATACTTTTTGTTCTATGAGAGAATCTTTATCAGCTAAAGTCACTTTTTGTGAATTTTTTAACATTTTATGTAGTAATAAAAAACACAAATCATAAAGAATTCATAATTCATAAAGGTCATGTTGACTGACTGATATTATCTCATAAAACAAAACGTATAACATCTCCTAAGGCTGTGTTAATTTCGGACTTATTTTGGACATTTATACCAAAACCCTATTCTTTCCATAGGGATGGCTGAACGAACCAGAGGTAACTCATTTCCGGGTTTTAGGACTACAAGCTAGCGAGCTCTATTGCGGATAAAATGCTGTGCGTGGTGACGTACTGCACATAGAAATAACTTGGCGTAGTGCACATAAAAATTAATTCCCATGTACTGAATGAAAAATATAAGTTAAATGGGTTTCCAACGCATTTTCAACTCTACTGATGGTTTTGTCACAAAAACTGTTACGTTATAACAAATGTGCCCACTCTGGTCTTGGCACGTGCGCTCTAGCCAACAGCTAGATACAGTGCAGATAGGATACCTACATTATGAGATTATTATGGATAAGAGCGATATTATTTGTATTAGTCAAACGGCAGCAAAGCATAGTTCAAAATGTCACCAGAATAAGACCCTCGATATTAATTGGAAAGGAGCATAAATCACCGTGCATATTCACCACCCTGTGAAGTTTATCATAACTTATTTCATCTGAAGCCTGAACTGCATGCTTTCCCAAGTCTTAATGGGTGGCCCACACAACATATCGCGTGACTCCAAATTTACTCCGATATGTTGGTTATTATATACATATTTGCGTATAAAGGCGTTTTGGCACTCCAATTTCTCGCATAATACATTTTCCCGACACAAAAAGATCCCACCATGTCAAATTAACTAATTGTCTTTCTGCATTTATAAACGTGTACCAGCATTTCCTGTTTTATCAGCCCAGTCGTGACTTTTTTCATGCGTCAGGTAATTCATCCGCATGAATTGGTTGGATGGAAACCTTGTTACTCAAAAGGCTATTTTACTGACTCAGAATGACTGTTCGCGACCTTTAACAAGTTATATATTTTTTTATCTACAGCTATACCACAAGGTGGCGCTACAGCAGGTAAATATAATTTCCTGTCTTCCCCGGGAGAGTTAGTTGTGTAAGAGTTCCTTCATGTCTGATTATTGCATCGAAAACAATCGTGTATCTTTTTTTAGGATCCTAAACACAAGCGAAAGAAAACATGAGTTACTAAAGATAGTGTGCATAGAGTTACTATAGTAACCAAGTGCTCTGATATAGCAATAGAAATACAAATACATTCATTTAGATATATTCACCTCAATAAGGTGCAGTCTCCCACTACAGAGACACCCATACTCACCAGCTCTACATAGCCATGGGACAAACTGCTAACAGGAAGTCAGTGTATTGGCACAATCTTCAAAACCATAAACATTTTGAATGTCTTCAATTACAATTATTAAAGGTAGACTCAGCAAGATGGCATCATCACACACAACAGGGAACTAGTTTACCTACACAAACATACAAGGATAATTCAGATCCATCAGGACTGTTTATTTTAGTTATTATGATGTCACATGTTATAGTTCTCATTGTTTTATGTTTCTGTATCTAGGGACAACAACAAATGTTTCTAATCTGCTGCTGGGCACTCTGGCAGAGCTGGTTTCAAAAGAGCTGGAGAGATTTCAGTGGCACCTGAGTCAGGGAGTGGAGGATTTTCCTTCAATCCCAAAGAGCCAGTTGGAGAACGCTACCATAGAGACCACAGTGGATATGATGGTGCAGCGATACCTTGACGACGGCACTGTGAAGATCACACTGGAGATCCTGAGGAAGATGGGCCAGAACAAACTGGCTGATGAGTTAAATGAGAAAGTTGACAAATGAATGTCTGAATGTGCAGCCTCAACACAACATGAGTGAATAATGTATTACATTCCCAAGGAGGGGAGAGGAAGGGGGTCACAGTTAACTTCTGGGTTCTGCGTCATAGGGTGAAACATTACGAGTTTTTCAAATGCAGATCATGTAATGTTTACGAAGGACATCAACCATTTTCACACCACATGAAAAGTTAAGGATGTCTTATCTAACAAGATAGGCTATCTGCAACATTGTGAAAGTTTAACGGTCTTGAATGAGCCCCAGGTCTCAGGCAAGGTGACATCACTGTGAGGCTACTGTCTACCAGACAACCTACCTGTGTTACTCTGGTACACTGGCTGCAGACTACAAGATCAGGGACTCTATTCTTTATAGTCTCCCAATATAAAGGAGGAATATTTTTATATATCTGTACATTGAAGAATTATCAGGAACATTGTGAATGTTTAATCATCTTGGTCAGGTCTCAGGCAAGGTGACATCACTGAGAATATAATCTATCAACAACTTGACTGTGCTACTCTGGTTCTCTGGCAGCTGACTACAAGATCAGGGACTGTTTTAATGTTGTGACACAAACATTTTTATATCTGTACATAGTGCAGAAGTTTATATAATGGTATTTCTATGCTTTTTTAAAAATGTAAATGTAATTATTTCCTTACATAAAAACATTGATTTGATGTATCATTCATTCCCCACGGGGGGCTAGTATAAAAAAATATGTATTCACTAACTGTAAGTCGCTCTGGATAAGAGCGTCTGCTAAATGACTAAAATGTAAATGTAAATGTACTGTTGATGTATTTGCTGATGACACCCATGAATTTATGTCTGCAGATTACAGATTACAAGGCAAGAAGAAGAAGAAGAAGACACTGATGTTTGAATGGTCTTCTACTGTGACATACAGCATAGGATAGCATTTGTATTGTTAATATATTGGTAGTTAGTAATTAATGAATCTACATTTTCTTATTAGGTACACTACATGACCAAAAATATGTGGACACATGCTTGTCGAACATCTCATTCCAAAATCATGGGCATTAATATGGAGTTGGTCCCCCTTTGCTGCTATAACAGCCTCCACTCTTCTGGGAAGGCTTTCCACTAGATGTTGGAACATTGCTGCAGGGGCTTCCTTCCATTCAGCCACAAGAGCATTAGTGAGGTTGGGCACTGATGTTGGGCGATTAGGACTGCTCGCAGTCGGCGTCCCAATTCATCCCAAAGGTGTTCGATGGGGTTGAGGTCAGGGCTCTGTGCAGGCCAGTCAAGTTCTTCCACACCGATCTGGACAAACCATTTCTGTATGGGCCTCGCTTTGAGCACGGGGACATTGTCATGCTGAAATAGGGACGGGCCTTCCCCAAACTGTTGCCACAAAGTTGGAAGCACAGAATCGTCTAGAATGTAATTGTATGCTGTAGCGTTTTCCCTTCACTGGAACTAAGGGGCCTAGCCCGAACAATGAAAAACAGCCCCAGACCATTATTCCTCCTCCAAACTTTACAGTTGGCACTATGCATTGGGGCAGGTAGCGTTCTCCTGGCATCCGGACTGCCAGATGGGGAAGCGTGATAAATCACTCCAGAGAATGCGTTTCCACTGCTCCAGAGTCCAATGACGGCAAGCTTTACACCATTCCAGCTGACGCATTACACATGGTGATCTTAGGCTTGTGTGTGGCTGCTCAGCCATGGAAACCCATTTAATGAAGCTCCTAACGAACAGTTTATGTGCTGATGTTGCTTCAAGAGGCAGTTTGGAACTTGGTAGTGAGTGTAGCAATCGAGGACAGACGATTTTTACGCGTCTCAGCACTCAGCAGTCCCGTTCTGTGAGCTTGTGTGACCTACCACTTCGCGGGTGAGTCGTTGTTGCTCCTAGACGTTTCCACTTCACAATAACAGCACTTACAGTTGGCAGCTCTAGCAGGGCAGAAATTTGACTAACTGATTTGTTGGAAAGGTGGCATCCTATGACGGTGCCACGTTGAAAGTCATTGAGCTCTTCAGTAAGGCCATTCTACTGCCAATGTTTGTCTATGGCGATTGCATGGCTGTGTGTTCGATTTTATACCCCTGTCAGCAACGGCTGTGGCTGAAATAGCAGCTCCTTCAGGGTTATCTAGACAACAGAAACATAGATCATAATAAACATCACTGGATTCTCTGATTATGGCCTCACCAAGGATGAGGCTCCCATCTCCCCTATCCAGGGGCTTGTGTTGTTATTCCACCAACTGTTTGTCCCTGAAGAGAGGTCCATCCTGAATGTGTTGTTGCTTCCCAGTAATGTTGTGATCAGGGAGGTCAGCATAACATTTCAAACCCCACTTCTATCTGGCTGGAATTCCACCAGCTGGCAGTGTCAAACGCACAACATGGAAACAATAACATGTGCCCTGTGCCTCAAGAATGCATGTTCATATACTAGTTGAAATCAGACCAGAGTCAAGTAATTACAGTGGCTTGCGAAAGTATTCACCCCCCTTGGCATTTTTCCTATTTTGTTGCCTTACAACCTGGAATTAAAATGGATTTTTGGGGGGTTTAAATCATTTGATTTACACAACATGCCTACCACTTTGAAGATGCAAAATATTTTTATACAAACAAGAAATAAGACAAAAAAAACAGAAAACTTGAGCGTGCATAACTATTCACCCCTCCAAAATCAATACTTTGTAGAGCCACCTTTTTGCAGAAATTACAGCTGCAAGTCTCTTGGGGTATGTCTATAAGCTTGGCACATCTAGCCACTGGGATTTTTGCCCATTCTTCAAAGGCCAAACTGCTCCAGCTCCTTCAAGTTGGATGGGTTCCGCTGGTGTACAGCAATCTTTAAGTCATACCACAGATTCTCAATTGGATTGAGGTCTGGGCTTTGACTAGGCCATTCCAAGACATTTAAATGTTTCCCTTTAAACCACTCAAGTGTTGCTTTAGCAGTATGGTTAGGGTCATTGTCCTGCTGGAAGGTGAACCTCCGTTCCAGTCTCAAATCTCTGGAAGACAGAAACAGGTTTCCCTCAAGAATTTCCCTGTTTTTAGCGCCATCCATCATTCCTTCAATTCTGACCAGTTTCCCAGTCCCTGCCAATGAAAACATCCCCACAGCGTGATGCTGCCTCAACCATGCTTCACTGTGGGGATGGTGTTCTCGGGGTGATGAGAGGTGTTGGGTTTGCGCCAGACCTAGAGTTTTCCTTGATGGCCAAAAAGCTAAATTTTAGTCTCATCTAACCAGAGTACCTTCTTCCATATGTTTGGGGATTCTCCCACATGGCTTTTGGCGAACACCAAACGTGTTTGCTTATTTTTTTCTTTAAGCAATGGCTTTTTTCTGGCCACTCTTCTGTAAAGCCCAGCTCTGTGGAGTGTTTGGCTTAAAGTGGTCCTATGGACAGATACTCCAATTTCCGCTGTGGAGCTTTGCAGCTCCTTCAGGGTTATCTTTGGTCTCTTTGTTGCCTCTCTGATTAATGCCCTCCTTGCCTGGTCCGTGAGTTTTGGTGGGCGGCCCTCTCTTGGCAGGTTTGTTGTGGTGTCATATTCTTTCCATTTTTTAATAATGGATTTAATGGTGCTTACTGGGATGTTCAAAGTTTCTGATATTTTTTTATAACCCAACCCTGATCTGTACTTCTCCACAACTTTGTCCCTGACCTGTTTGGAGAGCTCCTTGGTCTTCATGGTGCCGCTTGCTTGGTGGTGCCCCTTACTTAGTGGTGTTGCAGACTCTGGGGCCTTTCAGAACAGTGGGGGGGAAAAGTATTTAGTCAGCCACCAATTGTGCAAGTTCTCCCACTTAAAAAGATGAGACAGGCCTGTAATTTTCATCATAGGTACACGTCAACTATGGCAGACAAATTGAGGAAAAAAAATCCAGAAAATCACATTGTAGGATTTTTTATGAATTTATTTGCAAATTATGGTGGAAAATAAGTATTTGGTCAATAACCAAAGTTTCTCAATACTTTGTTATCTACCCTTTGTTGGCAATGACACAGGTCAAACGTTTTCTGTAAGTCTTCACAAGGTTTTCACACACTGTTGCTGGTATTTTGGTCCATTCCTCCATGCAGATCTCCTCTAGAGCAGTGATGTTTTGGGGCTGTCGCTGGGCAACACGGACTTTCAACTCCCTCCAAAGATTTTCTATGGGGTTGAGATCTGGAGACTGGCTAGGCCACTCCAGGACCTTGAAATGCTTCTTACGAAGCCACTCCTTTGTTGCCCGGGCAGTGTGTTTGGGATCATTGTCATGCTGAAAGACCCAGCCACGTTTCATCTTCAATGCCCTTGCTGATGGAAGGAGGTTCTCACTCAAAATCTCACAATACATGGCCCCTTTCATTCTTTCCTTTACACGGATCAGTCGTCCTGGTCCCTTTGCAGAAAAACAGCCCCAAAGCATGATGTTTCCACCCCCATGCTTCACAGTAGGTATGGTGTTCTTTGGATGCAACTCAGCATTATTTGTCCTCCAAACACGACGAGTTGAGTTTTTACCAAAAAGTTATATTTTGGTTTCATCTGACCATGTGACATTCTCCCAATCCTCTTCTGGATCATCCAAATGCACTCTAGCAAACTTCAGACGGGCCTGGACATGTACTGGCTTAAGCAGGGGGACACATCTGGCACTGCAGGATTTGAGTCCCTGGCGGCGTAGTGTGTTACTGATGGTAGGCTTTGTTACTTTGGTCCCAGCTCTCTGCAGGTCATTCACTAGGTCCCCCTGTGTGGTTCTGGGATTTTTGCTCACCGTTCTTGTGATCATTTTGACCCCACGGGGTGAGATCTTGCGTGGAGCCCCAGATCGAGGGAGATTATCAGTGGTCTTGTATGTCTTCCATTTCCTAATAATTGCTCCCACAGTTGATTTCTTCAAACCAAGCTGCTTACCTATTGCAGATTCAGTCTTCCCAGCCTGGTGCAGGTCTACAATTTTGTTTCTGGTGTCCTTTGACAGCTCTTTGGTCTTGGCCATAGTGGAGTTTGGAGTGTGACTGTTTGAGGTTGTGGACAGGTGTCTTTTATACTGATAACATGTTCAAACAGGTGCCATTAATACAGGTAACGAGTGGAGGACAGAGGAGCCTCTTAAAGATTAAGTTACAGGTCTGTGAGAGCCAGAAATCTTGCTTGTTTGTAGGTGACCAAATACTTATTTTCCACCATAATTTGCAAATAAATTCATAAAATATCCTACAATGTGATTTTCTGGATTTTTCTTGGACTGCATCTTTCTTTTGGTGTTTTTCAGAGTCAGTAGAAAGGCCTCTATAGTGTCCTAAGTTTTCATAACTGTGACCTTAATCCTTCTACCCCCCCCCACCCACACAGCGGAGTCGCTCACCACCTTCCGGAGACATCTGAAACCCCACCTCTTTAAGGAATACCTGGGATAGGATAAAGTAATCCTTCTACCCCCCCCCAGCACAGCGGAGTCACTCACCACCTTCCGGAGACATTTGAAACCCCACCTCTTTAAGGAATACCTGGGATAGGACAAAGTAATCCTTCTAACCCCCCCCCCCCCCCCCCCAAATTGTAAAGTGGTTATCCCACCGGCTATAGGGTAAACGCACCAATTTGTGAGTCGCTCTGGCTAAGAGCGTCTGCTAAATGACGTTAATGTGCCCTTGAGCAAGGCACTTAACCCCAATTGCTCCTGTAAGTCGCTCTGGATAAGAGCGTCTGCTAAATGACTAAAATGTAAAATGTAAATGTAATTGCCTACCGTCTGTAAGATGTTAGTGTCTTAACGACTGTTCCACAGGTGCATGTTCATTAATTGTTTATGGTTCATTGTACAAGCATGGAAAACAGTGTTAAAACCCTTTACAATGAAGATCTGTGAAGTTATTTGGATTTTTACGAATTATCTTTGAAAGACAGGGTCCTTAAAAGGGGACGTTTCTTTTTTTGCTGAGTTTAGATACTCATTTTACTTTAATGTGAATGTTTTACAATAGGTTAATGGTAGCCACATCTCCGAATAACAGCACACCCTGGAGGTTAACGTTAATGGCTACTTCCTGATGTAGCCTATGTTAATTTCACACAGCTGATGGGTTGATTGCTCTTATCCTCCACGGGATCAGTGTCCCCTTTACGGGACGGTTGAGCTAACGTGCGCTAATGTGATTAGCATGACTGTTGTAAGTAACAGCAAACTTTCCAGGACATAGACATGTCTTATATGGGCAGAAAGCTTAAATTCTTGTTAATCTAACTGCACTGTCCAATTTACAGTAGCTATTACATAGAAAAAATACCATGTTATTGTTTGAGGAGTGTGCACAACAACAAAAAACGTATCACGGCAACTGGTTTGATACATTCACCTCTGAAGGTAAATAATGTACTTACATTCAGTAATCTTGCTCTGATTTGTCATCCCGAGGGTCCCAGAGATAAAATGCAAACACTTTGTTTGATAAAAATGTTTTATTCAAATGTAGGAACTGGAATCTACAGTTTGAACCCCTGCTGTCTTTGGCTCCACACCCACCCCGCCCAGCCATCTAGATGTGTGAAAGTTAATGTATAAGCTAATGATCCCTCATGTATGACATTCCTGGGAGTGTGTAAACTTACATTTTGTATTACCATATCATTGTTGTATGTTCTCTATAGTTATGCACTTGAAAATGTATCAATTGACCAATTCGGCACATTTGGGTAGACTTGATACAAAATAGTCCAGTATTGCAATGCTTCACTGGATCAATCTGAAACTTTGCACACACACATCTAGTGGCCAAAATCTAAATTGCGCCTAAACTGCAATATTATATCATTAAGATGATGGAACAAAAAAGAAAAATTAAAACTCATGTTTTTCTGTTTGTATTATCTTTTACCAGATCTAATGTGTTATATTCTCCTACATTAATTTCACATTTCCACAAACTTCAAAGTGTTTCCTTTCAAATAGTATCAAGAATATGCATGTCCTTGCTTCAGGTCCTGAGCTACAGGCAGTTAGATTTGGGTATGTCATTTTAGGCGGAAATTGAAAAAAATTGGTGTGATCCTTATGAGGTGTGGGCCACATGTTCAGGAAGGAAATAAGGTAGGCTAGGCTAGGTTTGATTGAACATAATAATTAACATTTGGTCCAGTCGGCTGTCCATCCCTGGACTTTGTGTCAAAAATGGATCCATCTAAGGTAAGAAGAATAGGTTTGAAAGTAAACCGATTAGGCCAATGGTGTTATGCCGTGGATGATTGATGTTAGTCCTTGGAGAAGTTTGATGTAACTAGGGAGGCTACACCAGTGGTCACAATCAAGATCACC